TATATATATATGTTTTTTTTTATGATACTTAAATTTTTTGTTTGACCAACAGTATGCATATAATGATGCTGTCTCAATTTATAGAGATCTGTCTCAATTTATTTGAATTTTGATTTTTACAACACTAGCATATAAGTCTAGACTAGAAAGATAATGATGCTAGTTAACAAGTTGAGATTTTAAAATGAATTATCTTCTCCTTATGCATGAACTTCGATCATATTTAACAAGATTATCAAGATCAAAAGCCAAATTTTTTTCACATAGGAGCTATCTGCAACCCAGAAAAACAACCTTCTACCAAATCATGCTTCATAATTATATATATGAAAGCTATGAACATTTGAAAAAAATGGACTTATTCTAGCCACATACATTAGAATAATTCATAGTTTAGGACTTGGAGTTGATTAAAACCAAATGGATTTTCCTCGTTCCCTTGTCCTAATGACTCTCTTCTTTTCTTCACTCCTTTTACAACTATCACTACCTTCATTAACATCATCTTCTCGTGACCATAGCATTAGTTCTTTCCACAAATGCCTCATAAATGAATTCAAAAGAACAAACTTACCATCATCATCAACAAACTCGATTATCATCACGCCGCAAAACAAGTCGTCGTACGAGTATCTCCTCCGACAGCAGAACCTCCGACCCGGCCTAATCTCCCCAGTCAAACCCTTCCTAATCGTCACGCCAAAAAACGAGTCGGAAATTCAAGCCGTCGTTCGTTGCTCCCAGAAGCTCGGGATTCAAATTCGACCCCGAGCCGGTGGACACGACTACGAAGGCCTCTCCTTCACTTCAAAAACGCCTTTCGTCATGCTTGACTTGAGGAACCTCAACTCGGTAACAATAGACCTGAAATCTCGAACCGCGTGGGTCCAATCTGGCGCTACCCTCGGCCAGCTGTACTACGCAATCGCCCGAGAGAGTAAAACCCTAGCTTTCCCGGGCGGCGTTTGCCCATCGGTTGGGGTTGGGGGCCACATTTCCGGAGGTGGATACGGTATGCTCAGCCGGAAGTACGGCCTCGCGTCCGACAACGTGGCTGACGCTCGACTAGTTGGATCAAACGGCGAGATTTATTCCGACCACCGGTCGATGCCGGAGGATCTATTTTGGGCTGTTCAAGGCGGCGGAGGCGCCAACTTCGGCATCGTCACCGCCTTCAAAGTGAAGCTCGTCGTTGTTCCAAAAACCGTGACCGTGTTCACAATCGTGCGGCCTTCGGAACCGAAGAACGACGCGACTACTCGGTTGGTTCGCAAGTGGCAACGCGTGGCCGTTGCGGCCAATGAGAGCCTCATGCTCAGGTAGGGTTGTAAATGAATAAAATCAAAGCGTCAACTATTCAATTTGAATTTGTGAAAAATTTTCGATTACTCGTATTCGCATTCGATTCGTTAACGAATTTAATTTGTGAATTGTATTCGATTCGATTTTGTAATAAATATATTCGAATTCGAAATTTGTTTTCATAAATTATTTATATAATATATATATATATATATATATTTTAATATAATATATATTATGAAATAAAAATATTTTTTCAAATAAATTAAATTTTTTTAAATTTAAATTATAATTATGTTTTTTTGTGTTTTATAATTATATTCAATATATTTATATATTGTATAAGTAAAATCTAATTTATATATAATATATTAAATTATATATAATTATTATCACTTAATCTTATATTCGATAGTTTCGAATCATACATGTGTATATTTGGATTCGGATAAATTCCGAATATTAATACTTTTTGTATCCGAATTCGAATTCGAACTTTTACGAATACCGAATCGAATCACTAATCTAGTAAAAAATGTTTTGATTTGTTTATAACCTATGTTCAGGGTAACCCTTCGAAGCACGGGAAATTCCATTGTCAACCGAACTTCCGTGGCATCGTTCACCGCGTTGTACCTTGGGCGGGGCCGCGAGCTCTCGCACGCGATGCGGAGCGAGTTTCCCGAGCTCGGGCTAACAAATGCCGATTTCGAGGAGATGAGTTGGATAGAGTCCGTACTCTACTTCGCCGGCTTACGAAACCAGTCGATCGATGTTTTGAGAAGTCGAGACCCGCTTGGCCCATTTGGGCCGTCCTATTACAAAGGGAAGTCCGACTACGCAGGGGCTCGGGGAATATCGACGAACGGTTTGCAAGGAATGTGGCGATTTCTCCACGAAGAGGACGAAAACAGGGGAGCCGTGGAATTTAGCCCGTGCGGAGGGGTTTTGAGCGAGGACTTGAGGCGAACGAGCCCCCATTGGTCGGAATGCTCGTTTATGATACGGTACGGTGCCACCTGGCACGAAGGAGGATTTGATGAGATGAAGAGACACGTGGAGTGGATAAGGAGTCTTTACGGGTGCATGGGTGCGTACGTGCGGACGAAAATGCCGAGGGCAGCCTATATTAACTATAGGGATCTCGACTTGGGGTCGAACGGGCGAGGGAGGAACACGAGCTATGAGGAGGCTCGAGTTTGGGGGGTAAAATATTTCGGGGATAATTTTGAACGGTTGGCGCGCGCCAAGGCTCGAGTCGATGCGGAAAATATTTTCTGGAACGAGCAGAGTATTCCTCCTCTGCTGCCAATGTAGCTGATTATCAGTGTATGTTTTGATACAGTCATCAAGAGAAGAGTATGAAAAGGTTCAAACAAAAGGAAAAGAAAATAAAAAAGAAACACTAATAAGATGAACAAACATTGTTAACATGGTGTAAGGAAGAAGTTTTTTGTAATCCAATAAGTTTGATTGCTTTCCATTTTCATCCGGTGGTGAAATAATATGCACGTCGTGAATTGGGAAAATTAAATTTGAGTTTTATACTTCAAATTTGAGTTTTAAGTAGTTTCAAGTGAATTAAGATCTGAGAATTAGACATGTCCACGGCCCGTGAACGGGCCCGTGAACGGGTCCCGGCCCGGCCCGGCCCGGCCCGACCCGAACCTAACGCTTAGGGTCGCGGTTCGATACCGGTTCATAATTTTCTTTTCCCGCCGGTCCGGGACGAGCCGCGAGTCGAACGACGGGCCACGGTGTTTCTTTTAAGGGCCGTGTCGGCCCGTGATCCCTTGGGTAGGTGAACCGGCAGTTTAGGGCCGGTTCTATGAACCGGTATACCATAGTTTATTTTGGGCCATACACTTTCAACAATAAATCGATTGATCGATTTTGGTTTTTTCAATACCTAATATTCTTCATTTTAAGTAAAAAATATTCCTCATAATTGTCACATACATAAAATAGTATGCGACAATTATACAAGATTTTATAGTAACATAATTTGTCTATTTGGTAGAGCTACATAAAATAAATACTTTTCTTATCATAATTGTAAAATAAATCGGCTGCGACTTTGTGGATCCACGAAAAGATTACATTCAATTTAACAAACTAATGAAGTCAAATATATTGTGAGGTCACTCGCTATCCACACCATCATTTTATATTGGCATTGGAGATGCCTATTTAAATTAAAGCATTTGTTTTTAGAATAATGCTATGTGTTAATTAGAAATAATAATTTTGAGACAATGGTTGACATTTGTATATATTTTGAGTTGTTATTATGTAGATGTGATATAATAATTTGTATATATTTTGAGTTGTTGGTTATAATAAAAATCGTATCACGTATGTATTATGTCAAAATTTATGTCAGACATTTATATTTGCGTATATATCATGACAATTGTTTTTAACATCCACAATGAACCATAGAAGAGACAAGAGCGCGAAAGAAAGATATATAATTAAAATTACATAATATTTGAATTATTCTCGAAACAATGTTTTGGAGGCTTATTTAAAAGATCATAAACCTTAAAAATGTTGGTAATTTCAACCACACCGAAACTCCGCCCAAGATCCTCTGAAAATAAAAAACTGGAGAACACAAAATTTAACGTAGAAAACCCTCTGTTAACGAAGAGGGAAAAACCACCAGGGCAACAAGGCCATAGAAAATCCACTATGTAAAAAAAAAATACACAATTTTTCTACCACTCACTTACCCAAAATTACCCCACAGAATTTTCTACTCGTTAACCCTAACTCTCACCCTAAGGAATTTTTACCCTAAGGAATTTTTTACCAGAGATTAATTGTTAACACAATAACTATGTGGGATGATTTTATATAAAAAGTAGCACTTTCTTATATAGGAGAAAAATCTCCCTCTCTTTCATTCCACAATCGATGTGGGACAAAGAGCAAAACCCAACAAACTCCACCTTGCGATTTTGGCCCATCTGACAGCCACTATTCATTTTGATGAAATTTTTCATAGCTTTCGCCATCATGCTCCACCATAAAAGCATATCCACTTGGACTCGCATCCAAGCATTTCTTCGGCCCATGTCGAAATAACCTTGCTGAAATCTATGGTGCAACTTCCACGTTTGGCTTTCCTGGAAGTCCATCAGCCCTCGACACGCTTTTTCCACCACACACCTTGCATCACCGCCAAACCAATGCCCGTGTGTAAACTGTGGACCCGCTAATTTTAACACGTCCTCTTTCATGACACTTAGCGACATGTCATAAGGACTCCCCTTTCTCTCTTAGCAAAAACTCATCCATGGAGAGAGAGACAAAATTAGCTTCTTCGGTATCTCTACTTACCGACTTGGAGCCTTTTGCCGAACCTGCTCCTCCTTTCGGACGATTTCTTTTCACGTGCCCAGATTGTCCACACGTCCAGCAAATCACAACTTGCTTCTTCCTGGAGTTCCTCTTCTTTCCGTCACCGACGAGCATGACTTGACCTTCCGGTGAATTGTTTCGTCCACCGTCTAGCCTTCTCTCTTCCGCAAGAAGTTTACCAGTGACTTCAGAAAATATAATTTTCTCCTTCCCATGAATCAAGATCGGCTTCATGTGTTCATAAGAAGTTAGAAGAGACCAGATGAGTCTCAACGCCTGATCCTCATCATCAATCTTCACTCCAATGGATTCCAGCTCCGAGACGATCCCATTGAGAACGCTTAAGTGGTCTGAGATGCTTTGACCTTCAGTCATTCGCAGTGTGTGAAACTGCTCCTTCAGATACACCCGATTTGAGACGCCTTTAGCCTGATACAACTCCTCAAGCTTGTCCCATAATGCTTTTGCCGTCGAAATTCCATGCACATTAGCAAGAACATTCTTGGCCAGACACAGTCGTATCGCGCTTGCCGCTCTCAAATCCAGTTCCTCCCAATCTTCATCGCTCATTCCAGATTTGCTCACACCAGTTTTTTTTTCAGTGTTGCTGGTAGCACTGCCTTTGGGAATTTCCGAGCCCTTCAAAGCTTTGTGTAACCCCGACTGAATCAGCACGTCCTTCACTTGCACTTGCCACAAGCCAAAGTTGATTTTTCCGTCGAATTTCTCCACATCAAATCTCACCAGATTCGATATCTTATTTCCAGACATCTTCGTGAATCAGTGAACACTAACTTCGCAGAAAACCGAGCAGCAACCTTTAATAGTACTGATCAGATAAATTCTCAGGGAGGGTAGCGACCTGCCCCCTAAAGAATTACCCTTCTAAGTAAGCTCCCAGGAAAGGCTGGTGGGGTCACAACGGTCCCACTTAAAAAACCAGTCTCCTAGACAGAACCTACGTACACAGTAATTATTCCCCACTGCCCAAAAAACTCCTTTGCACACAAGCTCCACCCGTCACTGGCTCCACCGCACGAAGAGACCTCTTTGGTATCTTTTCTGATGTGGAAGATCAGACAAAACTGCAACCACAGAGCATACTCAGAATACCAACTAGGCTAACCTCGCTCTTGATACCACTTGTTGGTAATTCCAACCACACCGAAACTCCGCCCAAGATCCTTTGAAAATAAAAAACTGGAGAACACAAAATTTAACGTGGAAAACTCTCTGTTAACGAAGAGGGAAAAACCACCAGGGCAACAAGGCCATAGAAAATCCACTATGTAAAAAAAAATTACACAATTTTTCTACCACTCACTTACCCAAAATTACCCCACAGAATTTTCTACTCGTTAACCCTAACTCTCACCCTAAGGAATTTTTACCCTAAGGAATTTTTTACCAGAGATTATTTGTTAACACAATAACTCTGTGGGATGATTTTACATAAGAAGTAGCACTTTCTTATATAGGAGAAAAATCTCCCTCTCTTTCATTCCACAATCGATGTGGGACAAAGAGCAAAACCCAACAAAAAAAATAGAAACTAAAAATTGAAAATGATAAAAGACCTAAAACAGACTACATTTGTTACGATTTTCACCGACAAAGAACCTTCAAACGATGTTCAATCGTCCGAAACTCATCATCTACATGATGTTCAACATAAGTTTTCATTAAATTAGACGACTTATGTGGTTTTCAACCTTCCCTGAAGACTTGATATTGTGTTTTTGTTTGAATACATTACATATATATATACACATAACATAATTTGAATTCAATATTACATTTTAATTAGGTAACAAAAAAAAATTATGTCCATTCCCTTATTTAAAAGCTTTGATCGATCGACTCGTACGTCGTCTACAAGTCCTATCATACCACGAACAATTTTCTTGCCCCAATGCCGTTGATTTATATATGTTAAGTACTGGTCAAACATAGGAACTCAAAACTATTAGAATCATATTTTTACTCCAATAAGATTTTAATGAGGTGTTGCAAATGTCAATTAATATTAATGAAATGTGGTTAGCTGGTAAACGTCTTTCACTATCTAACTTCTAAACCATCAAATCAGATATTTTTGTGCTCTGGGGCTACCATGTTGTTAGAATTTTAGGTACGCAAATATCCAGATTTTCACACGAATGTAACAATTAAAATACACAACGGAAATAAATAACACGAAAGAGAATTCAAAATTTAGCCTACAAGTTCAAATACTTGTAGACTAAGGCCTCATGCCAAAATTTCACTAAAACAAAATAATCACAAAGTTTTTTCATCCAATCCAAAAACATCTAGTGAACAAAAAATAAAAAACGAGTTGGACACAAGACATAAAAGAAAACAAGCCCGATAAATCTTTTGTGTAAAACTAAAGAAGTCAGTCTCTTCTTTGTAACTCCACAGACGGCCCCGGCTGATGCTTCCAAAAAACCAATAAAAATATGTTGCTTCAATATGCTCCTCAACCTATTGCCCCAAGCCAAGCCTGCTTCTTCTGTTTTTCTTCACGAATGCTTCCGCCCCAAAGAATATAAAATCTCTATTGCTTATCTCTCTTTCTTTCTGAATGATGCACACCACGTCAAAGCTCCTTTCTTTTTTGCCAAAATATCTCCTTCCTTCTTATCTCTTTCTTTCCTAATAAGACACCTAATAACACTAGGAAAGTAGATAATAAAAAGAAGCAATATACCAATAAAATTCTACCAAAAATAAAAACTAATATATACATATATATATATATACAAAAATAAATCAGAAAAGCAAAATAAAAAATTAATCAAGAAATATGATTTAACACATGTGAGTAAACAGTTGACATTTTCTAATAATACGAATTCATACTTAGTATGATAATGTTTCAATCGTGAGATGCTACGGTCTCGTTACGGAATTATTTCGTCGGGCTATATAACCGTTTAGATCAACTA